AAACACCCTCTTCCAACAACACAAGAAAAGACTCTACACATGGACATCACCAGATGGTCAACACTGAAATCAGGTTGATTATATTCTTTGCAGCCAAAGATGGAGAAGCTCTATACAGTCAGCAAAAACAAGGCCAGGAGCTGACTGTGGCTCAGATCATGAACTCCTTATTGCCAAATTCAGACTGAAATTGAAGAAAGTGGAGAAAACCACTAGACCATTCAGGTATGACCTAAATCAAATCCCTTATGACTATACAGTAGAAGTGAGAAATAGCTTTAAGTGACTAGATCTGATAGAGTGTGTGATGAACTATGGACGGAGGTTCATGACATTATACAGGAGACAGGAATCAAGACCATCCTCAGGAAAAAGAAATGCAAAAAAGCGAAATGGCTGTCTGAGGAGGCCTTACAAATAGCTGTGAATAGAAGAGAAGGGGAAAGCAAAGGGAGAAAAGGAAAGATATACCCTTCTGAATGCAGAGTTCCAAAGAATAGCAAGGAGAGATAAGAAAGCCTTCCTCAGGGGTCAATGTAAAGAAAGAGGAAAACAATAGAATGGGAAAGACTAGAGATCTCTTCAAGAAAGTTAGAGATACCAGGGGAACATTCCATGCAAAGGTGGGCTCAATAAAGGACAGAAATGGTAGGGACCTAACGGAAGCAGAAGATATTAAGAAGAGGTGGCAAGAATACACAGAAGAACTGTACAAATAAGATCTTCACGACTCATGGACTACAGTCAGTGGAATTCTCCAGGCCAGAATACTGGAGTGGATAACCTTTCCCTTCTCCAGGGGAATCTTCCCAACTCAGGGATTGAACCCAGGTTTCTCGCATTGCAGTCTCTAGATAGCAGTCCATTATGAGACATAGGACTTGCAGATGTTTTCTCCCATTTACTTTCTTGATAGTATCCTCTTGAGAGGGCTAACAGGTAGGAAGATCAGAAGTTCCCAAGTGCCAGGAGGCAATATACCACAAGTGGCAGGCTTTTTCCCTTCTCTGTTGAGGATACCTGGCTCTGCCTGAATCTAACTTTTCTCAAACCTTGAGCTATAACCAGTGGGTTTTTCTTATGTAAATGTTTTCCTTAAGCTGTGTTAATGAAACTATGTATTTGCTTTGCAGTCTGCCTTTCTTCAAATTAGTTCAGCCTAAGACTAACCTTTTTTTTTTTTTCTTTTCTCAAACCTAGGCTGATAATGGCTCAACAAACCAGTATTCAGGTCAATTGTTTTTTTCTTTTTTTTCTTTTTTTTTTTTTTGCGGGGTTGGGGGACCGGGAATCACACACCTTGTGGTATTCTATCTTAAAAATGCAAATTGTGAGACAGGGGCCTGGTGAAACTCCCTCAGCCTTGAGGTGTCTCTCTCATCTGATTAGCAGCTTGCTAAAAACGGGGCCTTCTATCTGCCCCCTTCTGATGTGTGTCAGAAGCCTTCTCTGTCTATTTTACCTGTAGTAAAATTGTTGACAAAAACCTCTGAGTGTCAAATGTTGTCTTGGCCCCGGATCGAAATCCTCTCCTCCAAAGGTCTTGAATCCTGTGTAGCACATGGCTTGCAGCCGCAACGTTTCACTTTGATGCACAGAAGTGTTTTAGTTTTTTTAAAAATGCTTTTAATTTTTATTTTTACTTATTTATTTAGCTGCGCCAGCTCTTAGTTCAGATATGGGATCTAGTTCCCTAACCAAGGATTGAACCCCAGCCCCCTGCATTGGGAGCTTAGAACATTAGCCACTGGACCACCAGGGAAGTTAATTTTGATAAAGTCCAGTTACATATATTTTCTTTTGTTGCTGAGCTTTTGTTTTTATATCCAAGAAATCATTGCCAGATCCAGTGTCATGATTTTCCCTTGTTTTCTTCTGTGAGTTTTACAGTTTCAGGTCTTTATATTCAAGTATTTGATCCATTTTGAGTTAATTTTTGTATTTGGTGTTAGGGAAGGGTTCAACTTAACATTTTTGCTTGTGGATATCCAGTCTTTGCAATGCTGTTTGTTGAAAAGACTGTTTTTTCCCCCATGGAATGGTCTTGGCACTCTTTATTTCTGGGCTCTCTATTTTATTCATTGGTTTACATGTCTGTCTTTATATTAGTACCATATATATATATATTTTGTTTTTGAGAAAACCACCAGAACTATTGGTGAATGCAGAATTTTGCTGCTTCTGTTTTTTGATAAATGGTGATTAATAAAACAGGAAAAGCATATGGGGAAAAAATCCTGACCTCCTACCATATACAAATATTATAATATTTAGGATAAATCATAGATCTAAGTGGAAAAACATAAAACTTAAAAAGATTATGTTTTTTCACTTCAGGACATGCAAAGTTTTCTTGGTAATAGAAAGATAATAACCATAAATAGAAAAATTAGATGTTTTCACTTTAAAATTAAACATTTCTGCTTCTTAAATCATTATGAAGAAAATGGATAAAAATCAAAGACTTAAAATGTTTTTCATATCTATCAACCAACTGACAATGTTTCTTTTTTTTTTTTAAAGATTTATTTTATTTTTTGCTTGTGGCGTGTCTTCATTGCTGCATACAAGCCTTCTCTGGTTGGGGCAGGCAGGGGCTACTGTTCGTTGCAGGGTGCAGGCTTCTCATTGCAGTGGTTTCTCTAGGCTGCAGACTGCCATAGTTGCAGCATGTTGGCTCAATAGTTGCAGCTCGTAGGCTGTAGAATGCTGACTGACTAGTTGTGGCAGACGGGCTTAGTTGCTCCGTGGCATGTGGGATCTTCCCGGACCAGGGATTGAACTGGTGTATCACAATGCACGGTGGATGCTTAACTACTGGATGACCACAGAAGCCCCTGACAGTGACTATTTCTGATGTAGGAGCAGGATCAGGGGAAAAAGGAGGTACTGGTGATACTTGAAAGCACATTGTTAGGAGTATACTTATGATAGAAACCAGATTCTAGGTACCTAAAACTAGTTAGGGTTATAAATCACCAGTTTAAGGAAATAATTAAATTTTCTGATATTAATTGCACAAAATTCAAGCTTCAATTTTTTTTTTTTTTTTAAAGACATATGTGAGACAGAAAGAGGCAGGGAGGGGAGAGATGCACAGAAGAGCAGGAATACGTGCAAACGGAAAATTCCTTGAATGTCAAGAAGGAATAGGATCAAAAGCGAGAAATGAAGCCTTTAGGTTTGGGGACTTAGCTACCTTTTTATCTAAGATGGAAGAATGAAGAATGGACAGGGAAGATATATACAGGTGCAGAAATGCTAATAAACATGGAGGGGTGGCCATTATCCCTCTAGCCCTCCTTCCAGATGAAGGTGGACGGTAATGAGGGAACTTTAAAGGGTTAAGGACTATAGGAATAGCTCTTTAACTTTTAGGAGAAAAACATCAGGGTGTGTGAAAGGGGTCCTGTGTAGTTTGAAAATGTTCCACATGTGGTTCTGGATTCTGATAATATCCTCCACCTCCCTTTGACTCACTTAGGTCACTCCTAAAGTTTTTTCAGTAGAGAATTAGCAGACATGGAAGAGAGGATTTTTAAGAGTTTAGTTGAACTTTAGAATTTGTGGTGCTTTAGTCTGCAGTTGAGATTACATGAGGGAGTTCATTTTCCCCTCTTTAATTCTCAGAGTTATTGTTTAATAATAGATGTTACCTCAGTGATCTGCTTGATATTTGTGTGTGTGTTGTGTCTACCTGCTAGAAACTAAAAGCATTGTACCAAAAAATCTTTGGACGTGGCAGTTGAAAGAGTCTTCCCAGTTTTAAATACAGTCAGTCACAAATTGAGTGCTTCCCAGGTGGCTTAATGATAAAGAATCCACCTGCCAAGCAGGAGACATCCAATCCAGGGATCAAATGATCTCCTGGAGAAGGAAATGGCAACCCACACCAATATTCTTGCTTGGGAAATCCCATGGACAGAGAGCCTGGCGGGCTATAGTCCGTGGGGTTGGAAAAGAGTCGGACCATGACCTAGCAACTAAGTGACAACAAAATATCCAAGTCATGAATTATATATAAGCAAAATGTTTAAGTAGAATTACCGCTTAGAGCAAAATTCTGTATAAGCTTAGAGTAGGGAGATTACATTATGAGAAGTGGTGTTTTTTCAAACTATGGACTTGGGTCCATTAATGGCTCATCAAATTAATAGCTCACAAACAGTATTTTTTCCTTTTTAATAGATTAGAATAGACTAGAAAATATTGGTGCTTGCAGCATATAGTAATAAACATTTGTGGAACTTTTAATATAAAATGTATGTATATGTGTGTTGATTTGGGTGAAAATATATTTGTTGCTGTGGATTGCAGTTGAAAAGTGTTGGAAATCCACCATAGGTTATTTTGATAAATAATTGTGGACATTATAAAAACCTTTAAAGCTCTTACATTCATCTGCTTTTAGAATTCGTTAAGTTTATATTTACATTTAAATTAATTGTTGTTGTTCAGTCATATCTCTTTATGACCAGATGGGCTGCAGCACATCAGGCTTCCCTGTCATTCACTATCCCTCAGAGTTTGCTCAAACTGATGTCCGTTGAGTTTATGATGCCATCCAATCATCTCATCCTGTGTCATCCCCTTCTCCTCCTGCCCTCAATCTTTCCCAGCATCAGGATCTTTTCCAAGAGTCAGCTCTTCACATCAGGTGGCCAAAGTATTGGAGCTTCAGTTCAGTATGAGTCCTTCGAATGAATATACAGGGTTGATTTCTGATTTGATCTCCTTGATCGAGGGAGTCTTCTCCAGCACCACAGTTCAAAAGCATTAATTCTTCAGTACTCAGCCTTCTTTATGATCCAAATCTCACATCCATACATGACTAGTGGAAAAACTATAGCTTTGACTATATGAACCTTTGTCGGAAAAGTGATGTCTCTGCTTTTTAATATGCTGTTTAGGTTTGTCATAGCTAATTACATAAATATATTTTAGATGTAAGAATATAAATACATATGTAAGTGTGCTTTTTTTTTTTTTGGTCTTAATAGGTGCAATGGATGAGCTTCACAGTCTGGATCCAAGAAGGCAAGAATTACTGGAAGCTAGGTTTACAGGAGTTGCGAGTGGGAGCACGGGGAGCACAGGCAGCTGCAGTGTTGGAGCCAAAGTGAGTAAAGTTGTGATCTGTATCTGACATTTTTTCTTTGTATTAAAGTATGCATATTTTGTAAAGGGTTTATATTTAACAGCAAGTTAGTACTTACTAACTTACATTTTTATAATGTATAGGAAAAAATCCAGTGTTTTTATACCTAACTTCTAGTATAGCATACTATATTTTGCATACCATTTTACAAAAAGGCAAAATGGTTGTCTGAGGAGGCCTTACAAATAGCTGAAAAAAGAAAAGAAGCTAAAGGCAAAGGTGAAAAGGAAAGATACACCCATCTGAATGCAGAGTTCCAAAGAATAGCAAGGAGAGATAAGAAAGCCTTCCTCAGTGATCCATGCAAAGAAATAGAGGAAAACAATAGAATGGGAAAGACTAGAGATCTCTTCAAGAAAGTTAGAGACACCAAGGGAACATTTCATGCAAAGATGGGCTGCATAAAGGACAGAAATGGTATAGACCTAACAGAAGCAGAAGACATTAAGAAAAGGTGGCAAGAATACACAGAACTATACAAAAGAGATCTTCATGACCCAGATAAGCATGATGGTGTAATCACTCACCTAGAGCCAGACGTCATGGAATGCAAAGTCAAATGGGCCTTAGGAAGCATCACTACGAACAAAGCTAGTGGAGGTGATGGAATTCCAGTTGAGCTATTTCAGATCCTAAAAGATGATGCTGTGAAAGTGTTGCTCTCAATATGCCAGCAAATTTGGAAGACTCAGCAGTGGCCATGGGACTGGAAAAGGTTAGTTTTCACTCCAGTCCCAAAGAAAGGCAATGCCAAAGAATGCTCAAACTACCTCACAGTTGCACTCATCTCACACGCTAGGAAAGAAATGCTCAAAATTCTCTAAGCCAGGCTTCAACAGTATGTGAACTGTGAACTTCCAGATGTTCAAGCTGGATTTAGAAAAGGCAGAGGAACCAGAGATTAAATTGCCAACATCCGTTGGATCATAGAAAAAGCAAGAGAGTTCCAGAAAAGCATCTATTTCTGCTTTATTGACTATGTCAAAGCCTTTGACTGTGTGGATCACAACAAACTGTGGAAAATTCTTAAAGCGATGGGAATATCAGACCACCCTTACCTGCCTCCTGAGAAATCTGTATGCAGGTCAGAAAGCAACAGTTAGAACTGGACATGGAACAATGGAGTGGTTCCAAATGGGGAATGGAGTACATCAAGGCTATATATTGTCACCCTGCTTATTTACCTTATATGCAGAGTACATCATGCGAAATGCCAGGCTGGATGAAGCACAGGCTGGATGAAGCACAGGCTGGAGTCAAGATTGTCAGGAGAAATATCAATAACCTCAGATAAGCAGATGACATTACGTTTATGGCGGAAAGCGAAGAACCAAAGAGCCTTTTGATGAAAGTAAGAGGAGAGTGAAAAAGTTGGCTTAAAACTCAGCATTCAGAAAACTAAGATCATGGCATCTGGTCCCATCACTTCATGGCAAATAGATGGGGAAACAATGGAAATAGTGACAGACTTTATTTTTTTGTCTTCAAAATCACTGCAGATGGTGCCAGTAGCCATGAAATGAAAAAACACTTGCTCCTTGGAAGAAAAGCTATGACCAACCTAGGCAGCATATTAAAAATCAGAGACATTACTTTGCCAACAAAGGTCCACCTAGTCAAAGCTATAGTTTTTCCAGCAGTCACATATGGATGTGAGAGCTGGACTATAAGGAAAGCTGAGCACTGAAGAATTTATGCTTTTGAAATGTGGTGTTTGAAAAGACTCTTGAGAGTCCTTTGGACTGCAAGGAGAGCAAACCAGTCAATCCTAAACGAAATCAGTCCTGAGGATTCAATGGAAGGACTGATGCTGAAGTTGAAACTCCAATATTTTGGCTACCTGATGCAAAGAACTGACTCATTGATAAAGACCTAATGCTGGGAAAGATTGAAGGCAGGAGGAGAAGAGGATGACAGGGGATAAGATGTTTGGATGCCATCACTGATTGGATGGACACGAGATTGAGCAAGCTGAGGGAGTTGGTGATGGACAGGGGAGCCTGGTGTGTTGCAGTCCATGGGGTCGCAGAGTCAGGCACGACTGCGCAACTGAACTGATCCTATATTTTGAGTATTTATGTTGTAATATAGCATAATAGGTTTCAAGAGTAAAAATGAATTTGATAGATGCACTCTTTATCCCATTACATAATTTTTACCTTTCCTTATACTTTTTGTTTCTTCTTTGTCCCTGTAACTCGTGTTCCTGTCATATATGTTCCTATCTGTACAGTAATCCACTGCTGCTACCTGCTGTGTAAATTGTATAGTGTATCTGTTATGGCTTCTAGTGATAGATACCAGGTTGTCTCCAACTCCCCGCTACCTCACATTGTGGTGAATTTCTTGTTACTGTTCTCTTTTGTGACTTTGTAAAACATTTTTTTAAGATATATTCCTAACAGCAGAATTGATAGAGCATAGGACATGTATAGATTTAAATTGAATAAATAGTGTGTGCTATTTATAACAGTTGTATAAAACTAATTTGCATTCAGCAGAGTGCAAGAGTATTTCTGTATCTCTGTATCCAAGAAACCCTTGGCATCATCCAGATTTCTCATGTTTGGTAGCCCAGAAGGTATTTTGCTGTGCTGCTTTGCTGTGTGTCTTGCTGGGCTGCTGGGCTGCGCTAAGTCGCTTTATCATGTCTGACTCTTTGCTGCCCCATGTAACCCGCCAGACTTCTCTGTCCATGGAATTTTCTGGCCAAGGATACTGGAGTAGGTTGCCAGGGGATTTTTCTCCACCCAGGGATCAAACCCATGTCTCTTTTGTCTCCTGTATTGTAGGTGAATTGTTTACTATTAGAGCCACTGTTTTTCATATGTCCCTTGTATATTCTACATATTCCATGTTGATTACATACAGTGCAGATTACTTCTTTCATTTTGTCATGTCTGTTAACTTTTTTTATGGTATCCACCATAAATAAAGGTACAGAACTCTTTGATGTTGTATTCAAACTCACTAATTTTTTTTGCTTTATGGTCTATACTTTAGTATACCAACTTTTGGTTTTACTAAGAAAAACAGTGGTCGCCATTAACCATCTGGGTCAAATAGACCTTTTTGCTATGTTTATATTTTGTTATTTTACTAATTTTCAGCAATAAGAAAAAAATAATAGCAACTTTATTAGAAATTTTAATATGAATTTAAACACACTTAAAAATCTCTTTGTATCAAGTAAATCTTGCTGCACAAGCATCATAAAAGATGAAGGATATTGTTATGCGTCCTTTTAGCTTAAAAATGACCCAGGTTCTTGTTGCAGAACATTGTATGATGAAGTCCTTCAGTTGAATGAATTAATGGATGAGAATAGCGTGTTTCCCTTTTTCCTCCCCTTTGAAATGTATTGTCCAGTTCACTGATTCTTGAGTTTGAGAAAATTCATCTAGGATATTGTCATTTGAAGACTCAGGTTTTACTTATATGTTTACTGTCACCATCATCAGTTTTAGGTGCTGTTATCTCTTTACATTTATTTTCTGATTTGTGTCATAAATTAAATTATCATCTGTCATCTTAAGTGGAAAATCTTATTAGCTGGAGTCTATAAAAGCTAAAATCAGACTCCAAAGATAGTTTCTTAGTCATTTATATGTTTTTGAAAGATGATGCAGTACTTTGAGGTAAATAAAATAACTGTAAGATTATAATTTATTTCACTATTGCATCATCCTTTTAGGCATTAAATCTGTGTTGTTTTTCTATTTCTACTATAGCAAATTATCACGAAGATGCTCAAAACAGTACATACTTATTATCTTATAATTCTATAGCATCAGAAGTCTGACACAAGTCTCACTGGGCTAAAATCAAGCTGTCTGTGTTGCTGCATGTCTTTCTGGGGGCTTGAAGGAGGATCAGTTTGCCATGCCTTTTCCAGCTGTGAGAGGCTGCCTGCATTCCTTGACTGGTGGTGTCCTTCCTCCATGTTCAGAGCCAGCAGTGTTGCATCTCTCTGACTCTTCTTTGACAATCACATGTAATGGACCATATCCTAGAAGGGCTCTTCACTTTTAATTGCTAATATGATTAGATTGGGCCCACCCTAATCTGGATAATCTGGTATAATTTCCCCATTTCAAAATTCTCATCCTTAATCACATCTGCAGAGTCCCTTTTGCCATATACAACAACATTCTGGTGTTTAGGGCATGGGCGTCACTGGGGAGCCAATATTCTACCTATCATATCATCATTCTTCTGTTTTATTTTAGAGGCTTCTCTTTGTTTCATCATAGTTGAATAATTGATGAACAATGATAAGTAATGACTTCCTTTTATGATATAATAACAAAATATAGGAAAAATAAGATCAGTAAGATCCCATAATGTATTTTGGATTTATGAAAGCTGGCGGACATCTGGTAATTAATTGCAAAGTAGAATGTGTTTTATTCTATTAAAAATAAATTCCTATTTTTATTCTGTGGATGGTCTCAAAGAATAAGAGTCCTGAAATATTAATTATTACAAACTGACTTGAAAAAGAAGCCAGAAAGGTAAAGTTGGGTCCAGTGGACTCTGATGGTATTCTAAAAGTGAAATTCTTCTTCCGCACCCATGAAGCACAAATAGAATTCCTTCTGTTTTATAGTTTTATATTTATTCTTTAACCCATTGAGGCCTCATCTTTATATAATATTGATAAAGATCGGGTTTTATTTTTCTCCACATAGAAAACCAGTTTTCGCCACTTCTTAAATCATCCATATTTTCCCACTGATTTGTGATGCCACCTGTATCATGTGTTAAATTGCCATGTGTATATTCTGAGCTGTCTTTGAAATTTACCTTACATTCCAGTGGTCTTTCTGTGTTCTTCTGTCAGTATCACATAAAGAATATGATTGTGTTTTGGTATGTCTTGTTCCTGTGGTAAAGCAAGTCTCTCCTTTAATTTTCTTTTGTAAGATTGACTCTGTTATTTATGGATCTTTATTCCCTCA